GAGAGACAAGTCTTAAATTAACCAGGTCTGAAAACACGATGGTGATGTTGAAATATCAAGTAATAAAACTGGGTTGTCAGTCATCAGTTCTGCCGAGAGATCGGCAAAGATCAAAACAGGAGACAGAAGAGTTCTGTAATGACGTATCAAAATACAGAACACAGCCTCACAAGACGCCACGTGAACCTTTACAACAGGGGGTTTCAAGATTTTCCAGCCCTACGGCTACATTTGTCTTTGCTTATATACTACAGGGACGCAAGATTAGAAACGCAAATTTGTTGAAACCATAAAAATTTATTGAAAATGTTACTAACGTACTATCACAAACAGTTTCACACAAGCCCACTGCTTAATTTTCTTCAACAAATGCCATTAGGCAGATACCTTATAATGCTTTTTCTTCAGCAATCTTTCAAAAACAGGTTTAATTTATGTTGCTTTTTATTCTAATGTATCAAGTGTTCATCAGTAAGATGCATCGTATTTCTTGATTTGACAATCTTCAATATGCTGTAGACTTTCTCACAGCGAAATGTACTGCCAAACCTTGACATTAATAAAGCCAGTTATTTGTCAATATTTTCCACTATACAGCAACACAACATTACAAAACAAGTATGTGGGCTATGTTCTTCAAGGCAATGAAATGCTGAACAGACTGGTGATGTGATAACGTGTAACCTAATCAAACCAAATTAAGTCCTGTTATCAGTTATCTATGGTTTTACTCAATCTCTCCAGCCTGAGTGATGAAACTGTATTTTCAGATCACACCCTTACCTAGTCACCATTCATAAACACCCTCCAACGCTGCCTTCATCTCCCTGATGATGGAGGCAATAAAGACTTCTGAAACGTTCTTTAAACTTCTACCATCCTGCACGGCGCTACAACCCAGAAGACAACTATCTGCCGTCCAATCATAATCAACACTATACCTGTCGTGCTCGCAAAAAAGTAATACAATTCTTATTTTGCATAAAGTCCTTTCTACTGGCCATCACAGATATAACCACTGAGGTTTTAACATTTCCGCTATTTACCTATCAATCAAGGGCAGGAAATTCGGCTTTACCTCCCATAGGCCTGTCCGACCATAAGCAGGTACGCAGGATACAGAAGACACTTTATCAACTGCAGATAGTATTCCCCGTCTTCTGATATGTGGGAAAATCCAATTAGTCAAAAAATATTCTGTAAGCATTAGGCAAACATCATTTGTTCCTCAGACTTGGTGGGGCAGCCATGTGAGAAAAATAGCTTCCTTCCATCACCCCAGTTCCGAACAACTAGAACAGGATATTACATAAGTGACACCCACTACAAGCAATTGCTATGATCCATCTCCAGGAAGTAACTTTTTACTTTTCCCTTGTGCCCCAAATTGTTATACTGAGGATCAAAATACCTATGAATGCAATTTGTTCCAATCTTTTTATAACTTCCCAAAAACAGAAATACTATACTGGCTAAGGTCAAGTATGGGTAGCCATGAACATGACAGCCTTCTGGGATATTGCGCTGTGTAGTCTCCTATACTTGACCGGCGTTTCGGTGGTGCTTCAGCTAATGATGGAGGCAGTAAGCACCTTGCAAAGTCTGTAAATTTTTACAAGACTACATGGCAATATCCCAGTTGCCTGTCATCTTATCTTCACCACTGCCAGAACCTGGTTAGCCATGATAATTCAAACTCCATTCCACTCACACTCAGCAAACTCCAGTTCCATTCCAACTAAGGTCAGATGTACCAACTTGGTGGAGCGTCATTACAAAGTGATGGGTAGAGACTGAGTGACTGAAAGGTATCAGAATTTTATCTTCAAAACAGAGTTTTAATGTCTCTATCCAATGTATAATAGGGGCTTTTTCCACAAGGCGGAAGGTGAATGGTGAAGGAGCATGACAGTAACCATTCTGTCATTTCTGACATTTAAACTGGCCTGCTGTGGATATTCTCCACGACATAACAGTTTGCAAAGTCCATGAATATGAAACCACCAGACTCCAAATAGTTTTATAATGCTTCATACAATGTAATGCTATGAGACTTTCTAGATGTTGAAATTTCCTACATACACTCAACTAACTATTCTTTCTTTTACATATTCTATACAAAACAACCTGCTGCTGGAATTCCATCTGGTGTGTGATACCAAGGAAAACCTCCTAGAGATAAATGCAAACAAAATAGATGTGCATCGAGACAATCAGAATAAAAATTATAAAAATACAGTCAAATATGCAAAAAATAGTTGAACTTCCAGTATCTAACCAGTTACTTGCTGCATTGCTAAATTTAGCTAGTGACACATTAACGAACACAATGCTCATTCACAATTCTTTTTTACAATGGCCTGTATACCACCAGTCTCCCCACTGAAGCATCATTAATTGTGTGGTACAAGTTTCTGTCAACAATTCTGATGTCATCAATTTCTTCCAGTACTGTTTCTGAGAACTCAGCAGCTCTGGAACATGCACAGATTCCTGAATCCCCAAAAATTGCTCAACAATTTGTTCAGCCATTAAAACTAACTGTTTTGTGGCTATAGGTATTTGTAAAAAGTTAAGTGAATCTGTCCTGCTATACACCATGTAGGCACTGGGGGGAGAAGTATAGCTACTGCTCATTCTTAACCTTGGCACTAGATAGGGGTGAGTGGTCAGCGTCACACCCCAGCCACACTTTACTCCTCGGAAAGGACCCCAGTACCCATTAGAGCCAGTCTGGATGCAGAGGCTACAGGTAAATCCCATGCCCATGTTGGGGATCGAACCTCAGTCATCCAGTCCACAGTCAGACAGAGCAATCCCAGATCATGTTGTTTCATCAAATGGAATGACAACATAATCTACAAATCAAATAATTTAGCTACAAATTCTCTGAAGACTGAAAGCACATGGTCAAGAAGTTCATATTACCCATATTACACAGTATATGAAGTGTTCTTGAAGACTATCACACTGTTTAAATGGTCATGTTAATGAGACACAATTTTTCGGTGTGCTTGTTTCACTGTGACCAAGGGAATTTTGAACATACCACAAAAATTTAACACACTCATACATTCACAACAGCATGTGTTATATCAAACTGTGCATGGCACATAATTGATTGTGTGCTGAAAGTAGGTTCAAACAAAACACAAACATATCTAAAGCTGTCTCATTGTTAATGCCAAAATTTGAATAATGTTGCAATGATATATTTTCTGATAGATTTTTCATGTCAGTCACACCCAACTTAATTCAGATGCATTATCTTTAAAACATCATGCAAGAAAAACAAAATAACTTTCTTGAAATGGCAACCACATAAACAAGCAGCTCTGGAAAATGATTCACTGTTAAAATTTAAGTTTTTGTGCCTTTTTAAACCATTACTGACAGTCTATGTGATCTGTACGTCCAGCCTGTATGGTCCAAGTCTTTTTATTTCTAGTTTATCTTCATATAAAGTGCAAGGCTCCTCTAACAATTTTACAACACTATTCATATTGATACACTTTACCCTCATGCATGATTTTAATTAAACACATTTACAAGTCAGCCCCTGTAGGTATTGTGCCACACTACACATCATTAGTTTTTGTTTTTTCAATCGAATAAACCAACTGCTATTACTGCTACTACAAGGCTTACACTGTGTACTGATACACTGTTTCAGAAAACAAAGACAACAGAGATGCATGAAAATCAAGCTTATTACAGTGCATTTAACTTTTTAAGACATGACCAGATAACTGAATTGGTTACTCACTATCTGCCACTTAGTTCTGCATACATGTACAGCCTAGATTTACCATTACTGCTTGATAAGGTTAATTTCAAATGTCAATCTCATTTCAGTACCACTAAATGATTAAGCTCAAAGGGTGGTAATAACTAATGTTCAAAATCTTACCAACAGATTTTAAATAATTAAAGCATCACATAAATTACTGTCAGTTATCACAAGCAGTATCATTTTTCAGTTTACATATCCTGTAAATTCAGAATTGTGCGACAATATAGACAGTGCAGAAATATTGCTGCTATCAATGAGATCTGAGGTCCTCCCAATGGTGATGATGTCAATCTTGGTCTTCTGGTGTGTAACACCAAGTTGGTCTTCAGTCCTGAACATGGAGGCAGTATGTTCCTACAAAACACTGGTATGTCTCTCCAAATTCACATGGTGTTACAATCTACAAAACTAACGTTGACATGCTGCTGTCAACATGCTGACATGAATCAGCAAATTCTGGTAATACTTCAAAAGCCTGTACTACACCTAACCATGTCATATCTTATCAAATTTATGGTTGATATGAGATGCTAAGTGTTATTTGCCATGCTTTGTAGTTTTAAATTTGAACAATGTTTCCATTGACTAGACTTGGATCTAGAACAGTTTCTCTTTCTTGTTAAAGATACAACCAGGATGGGATATTTAACAGCGGAGTATGGCATGCCACCCACTTTAATAAGCAAGCTGCATTAAACAATAGGGCCAGCGGCAATAACCCTTAATCCATTGGAATCTAAAGTCAAATGAGTTTACTCAAATCAGTGTTGAAAACCATAGCATTTTATATATTACACACAAGTATATATAACTCAAAGATGTTATGATGAATTGTAATAATTCACACACAATTGTCAGCAATGTGATTTTTTCTTAATACCAGTAGCACACTGGAGAGTACTCAAAATAAAGTTCTTGGGATAATTTTGAAAATCTATTATTATCAACGTCAACAATTTATTACTTTAAAATGAAATCGTACTTAGACTCTCGACATACAATGCCCAATATGACATTTTCATCAACATACAATTAATTTGTCAGAAAAACTATAAAATCATTCAACATGCCCTCTTTTTTCTCCAGATTCGCAACACATTGCAGTTAATTAATGAAAATGGTAAGGACTGATTCGCCTATTACATCCAAAGTTCAGGAAGTGTCAAGGCGTGTTTACGAAATTAAAAGCTCAAAAGTAAATACTTACCAGACATACATATATCTACTCCAGATGTTAATCCATTTCTGAAGCACACAAAATGTTAATGCACTGTCATCATTTAGTCCTATTAATTTCAAAAAGTACAAAAACTATATCCACAAACATACACAATGGCGTTATCCATGTAGGCCTAGATCACCGCCTCCTTCAAGTGCCCATGTTTCGAACTTGTTGGAAAATATCCGTACAGGTTATGCAATTGTGTATCATAAAACAGTCTCACACGCCGGATAGAAAATTCATCCATAGGAATACAGGCACCGAGCCTTACACCGCATTGGATAACGTTGAAACACTGACTTAAAAACACAATCATGGCCGATGAGGCTGAACAGGTATTGATTATTTTTCATAAGAACTTGAACAGTTACCAGAAAGTAAATAATCACACCTATCAGAATGTTTTCTGAAACCAACTTTTACGTTTTAAGTTCAGTTATAATGCGACTGAACATACTCATTGTACAGTGATTGCACGTAATGCTAACCTTAAACTGAAGACCAATCATGCCAACGACTTACTATGTATTCTAGGTGCCTGCTATTACTGTTAAGGAACCTTTAGATCTCGTCCGTCTGAGTTTAGATGAGCGGATATATGTGAAAATGAGAAATGAAAGGGAGCTGAGAGGAAGACTTCATGTAAGTTTACGTGGTATCGTAAAGTATACAAGTATTTTATATTTGGGGTTAATTTTTACGACGCTGCAAGAGACAAGAAAGTATCCATTTCAACTGTCGAGCTTCTGTAACGATGTAAATTATTTTTGTTTTATGACGGAACAATCTGAATATTGTAAACCCCAGCTAACTTGCAGATTTAGATACTACCTTTGCACCTTTTCTTATTCTTCCCACTCCAGTCAGTAGTTGTGGATGTAGCATTTCTGGGTAAGTAGACTGATTTCCACAGTATTGTTCATTTGAAACTTAATTAAAATGTTAGAAGGCAGATAGGAAAAGAAAAAAACTATTTTTTTTTTACAATAACCATGTTATTTGTTCCTATATCCTAAAATGTTACTGAGCTATGTAAATAGACTGTGTAACATGATTGTGATGAGTGTTACCTGAACTGAAGAGAATAGAATAGAAAATAAAATAAATGTATTTACATTCCATAGATTCTTCATAGGCCCAAGCCAAGGATGCAGAACATGTCATTGCACAAATACAATACTTGTTTCTAATACAAATATAAATCACATTGCAAAAAAGAACTGACAAGAAAGTGTCACATGCTTACATGCATTTATAATTGCTAAGAATTTTTGGTTGAGGTAAATTCCTCTATGGAGTGGGATTGAGATAGGAGATATTCTTTTAGTCGTGGCTTAAACTTCATTATATTATGATTAAGACCTTTTATAGTGGGAGGAAGATTATTGAACACTTTCTGTTTGCAACACAAGCTTTCTTTCTGGCAAAAATGTCATTTCTTGTGACTTGTTATGTCAGTGTTGTTGTTTGGACAGGTAGCTGTAGTTATTTCCATTGGTTAGTAATATTAACAAACATACAAAATCTATAAGAATAGTTGCAGGCTTTTGGTGGAAGTCTTGGTATCCTGTTTTTAATCTATCAGAAATTTATGGTGTCTCTCGTATAGTACTCTGATCTGGCAGTCAGATTATCAATAGATTAAACTGTGCACTGATGCCAGAATCAGTTCAAAAATACACCTTGCAAATACTTGGAGAATTACAATCTTTGCATGATTTAAAAACAGTATTCCTACAAAACTGAAAAATATTAAAAGTTCTGTTGCATGTGATGTGTTCAAGCTACAATCAGTTATCCTTTAGGTTCAGAAAAATCTACAGCTGTTTACTCATTTAATAACATGGAAATTCTTATTTCCATATATTCTGTGTTTAAGTTTCAAATGAAAAGTAGACAAGTTGTGTGAAATCCTTAGACTCTTTTTTTCCAAAATGTAAATTGAAAGAAGTCACTATAATTACTAATCCAGTGATTAAGATATCAACTTCCATTGAATATAGTTCTTTATATTTAAACAGAAGATTTTTCATCTTGAATTTCAGGCATATGATCAGCATTTGAATATGGTACTGGGAGATGCAGAGGAAACTGTTACCACGGTTGAAATTGATGAAGAAACTTATGAAGAAGTGTATAAAACCACCAAACGGAACATTCCCATGTTGTTTGTACGTGGGGATGGAGTGATTCTTGTGTCACCACCAATGAGAGCTGGAGTGTGACAGTTTTGTAAAAGTGTAATGTTTTATTTTCATTGTGCTGTATGATTGTAGTTGACTGTTTCATGCTCTTTTTTTTCTGTCAATTTCTATGAACAACTAAAGAAAGCATGTGCCTTCTGAAGTATTTTTTTATTTCTTAGTGCATGAAATACTAAAGGATAGATATGTGAATCCTAACAGTAGCCCATGTTACAATAAAACAGATTTTTTGTTCATGATACTTCTGGTTATAGCCTTTCTAATATAAAATAAGTAACAAACAACTATTAACACTATAAAAAAGACACTATTGCCATACATGTTTCAACCTCAAGAGGTCATCATAAGTGGCATCAAGGAAATTAATTCATTTAATCAAATGGTTTAAACTGGATTTAGAAAATAAATAATGAATAGGGTATTTAACAAAAGTATTTCAAGCGACACTGCACTAGATGTTGTTATTCACAAGGGTTGAACTCTGCACTTAGCTATTGATGAAGTTATAGTGTTAATAGTTGTTTGTTGCTTATTTTATATTCTAATACACTACACGGTATGCAAAGTTTTAAGATTATAGCTTTTCTGTTCACTTCTTTTGCTGAGAAAATGAAGGAATCCACTTCTCAGGTAGAAGTGCCCATAGGGTGATGATGAGAATGATAGGTGATCTACATCTAACATTGGTAGCTTGATATTCTTCCCATTCACCAATAAACTGGGCATGTCAGTAGCAAAGTATGGGGAAAGCCTAACGAAAATTCTATGCTAAGCTCAGGTAGTCTCAGTATAGTCCTCTGTCATGGGAGATTAGTCCTTTTCAATTAAGCCAGTGTTTTTAAACTGTTACATTCTGTGATCTGTCAACCAGTAATACAGGGCCCATGGTGTGACCTAGCCATGATATGGAGTAATAGAAGCACCACAAAAATAATACATGTTGTAAACGTTTAGTAAGGAGATACTTAGTGAGAAAAGACTGAAGTTAGCATTTCTGTTAGTAAACTAATGTATATAAATTGTAGTACCAAAAAAGCAAGAAAGGGATATGCCTAGAGAATGAGCAGACCCAAAGAAACCTAACCTTTTACCCATATGGAGACTACAGGATGGAGAAGAAGAGTTAACAAGCCACCATGATACATCATGGTAACAGCAGGTAAGTCTAGGGACCTACTGGTGCGACACGCCGCAGGCGGCTAGTCACGCCAGTGGGTCCCTAGCCTAAGACTTAGGAAATCATAGTCAATGTAGAGATCATAAAATTGGCTGGAAGAGTTAAGCTGCAACCAAAGATCACGGGGAAATTGATGATAGCTAGTCATGTACACATTTAGAAGTAGCCTCAAAATTAAGTATAAGTAGATAATAGAAGAAAATTGAACAAAAGAATTATTTTAGATCTTATGTTGTTATAATATGAATTATTAGAAAATTTAGCTTGGTTAAAGACAGTATGTTACAATTTACATTAATTAGTATTAATAACTATAATTAACAATTACTTTATTGAAAGATGCAAACTTGACCTTTATCTTATGTGGTATGACAAGTTTGCAGTCTTCATTTATTGAAACACAATATAGTTCACTGTTTAAAGAAATATGACAGTTCACCCAATTTTTAAATGAAGATATACTGCTATCATGGAAAAATGTGATATATTCAGCCATTTTTCAGTTGTGGTATACAGCTCTCAGAAGAAATATTATGTTAGTATTGGCTCAGTTTTACGAAGAAGCCATTCGTAAGCATTAGTGAGACCCTGCCATAACATTTCTGTCCCAATAATCTCACGGACCTTGGCATGATAATCATTTAACCACAGGAGCTGAAACATAACAGTTTTATTAAATCAAGATAAAAAGAGAAAGATTTTTCAAAATAAGCTTTTAAAAATATAAATTTCTCACCTGCTTCTTACTCATGATGTCTGGGTTAATGAGGTTACTGTCATAGGGAACCAGAGTCACTGGTTTGAAAGTCAGGTAATTTGGATCACTGCCCAGCTGAAAAATAGAAAAATAAATGAGAACTAACATGCCAGTTACACTTCTTGCTTAAAGTTGCTTATGTTGAATTGAATTTTATGAACTTCGAAAGCTTCAGAATTAAAAGAATTAAGTTCCAGTTGTTTCTGTTTTTGAGTGTCAGTCATGCAGTGGGCATAAGCATAGAGGCTTAATGATGGTTTCCATAAGTATTTTCAACACATGTATGTAATAATTTGTCTAATGAAGTCTAATGTTTGAAAGTACTGTATACATGAATTTTAAAATGTGTCAGGAGTTTTGTATGAATTAAAACTACCATTACGAATGGAAATATATGGTCATCAGAACAGGTGAAAACTCAGTGAAATAGTATAACAAATATTTTGCTGAAATTTTTTCAGATTCTGAGGTCTTACAAAATGAAATTTCATGAAACAAATAGTGTTCATGGAGTACAGAGGGTGGGCATGAACTATCATACATTTTAAACTTGTGAAAACATTTTTAGAAAATGTTACTGTTGTGTATTGCAAAGGACAGTCCTAAGATTTTTAGTAAGATGGGACAGTAGGAGCAAGGATCCTGGGGATATACTTACTAAACAGCTAAATTATTTATGCTCTAAGAGGCTTCAGAAGAATTAACAGTGTTAACAAATGTTCCTCCAGGAGTCTATAAACCACAAGTGAATAAGTAGTGAATATTTCAGCATAATCCAGAAGCATTCATATGCCTGACAATATTGCACTTATGTATGAGGTTGTTCTGTTTGACAAACAAACAAAAAAACTGTCACAGGCATTGAATATAAAAGAACCTTGCAACCATACTGAAGGATGATTTCATTTTCCTTACAAAAATGTCAGACGAAGCACATTCCAAGCTCATGTGTTATGTTAACAAGCTGAAAAATATCCTGAACAGTTTCACCAAAGAATTTTACAAAGTGAACATATCAGTGTTGTGTCCATTTTAATTTTCAGTACTTTTCATAGAATGTTTAAATGTGAAATCTTGCGACTCTACTTTTATTGTTCTGGTTACTTGATTATGTTAATTTGTGTTACTTTATTGGAAAATATGATTTCAAAATTTTAGCAAGCAAACTTTTATTATACTGATTATTTGATCATGTTTTACTCACTGTAACATTTGCTTTCACAACAGTTACTATGTTCTCCAGCCTGATTCCAAATTCATTGTCTTGGTAGTATCCTGGTTCTGCAAAAATTTTGTAAATAGTCCGGATTAAATTAAAGATTTTAGTAACACATATTATTAGATAGAGTTGTACCATGTAGTTGCAAGAACAGAAGTGCTTTTGTCTTCCAAGCTAATTATGTATTTAATGACACTATATTAGTACTAAGAATATGTTTGCTAATTAGTGATAACATTGAGATGTGTAAATGATGAATTTAGCAGCAGATATGAGGATGTTAAGAATAAAAATAAAAGGTTACAATTTCCAGTTGCATTTAGAAAATCATAAACGAGTGCTAACTGTATTATAAAAATTTTATTTTCAGACTTAATAGTACTTACCTTGGGATCCAAAGAAATGTTCGTGGTAGGTTGTGTTGAAAGCTGCAATAAAAGATGATAAATAAGTAGACTACAAATTATACTGACTCGTGACATAGTGTTAAACACTGAATAAACTTCCTTAATACACTGCCATTTTTGGTTATTGTTATAAATACTTCATACATGGTAGGATTAACTGACCTTCATGAACAGCAAGACAAAAACCAATGCCATGAGTACTGCCATGACCATAATTCAATCCAAGGCTGTATAAAGGTGCCCTAATCAAGATCTCCAGTGATGAGAGTGTCTGACCCTCAGGGAATATAGTAGAAGCAATATCAATGCATCCCATTAGTAAGTTGGTATAGATTTCACGTTCTATGTTTGTAGGTGTTCCAAGGTGTATTGTGCGTGTAACATCAGTGGTACCATCTGTCAGAGAGCAACAAAATTGAATATAAAGAACTGGTTTTCTGATCACTTATATCTTATATTTATTTTATATCCTTCACCTCTGCCTGCAGAAAATGCAACCCCTCTTGCATTTCTGTCACTATTTTGTTACAGATTCATTTTGTCTTCATATCAGATTTCTTCTAACTCACTAAAATTTGAGGTTCTTATGGTAGTGGTGAGTGCAAAGATGGCTGTCTTCTGAGTTGTAGTCTGGTAGAAGATTACAAATGTTTCAGAGGTCCTTGTTCTTGCCTCCATCATCAGGGCAATGATGATGGAGGCAGCAACAAGAATCTCTGAAATGTTGGTAAACTTCTACCAGACTACAGACTACACTGTGTTACAACTCAGAAGACAACCATCTTCCTTCAACCCCTTTCTTCTGTCTCCTTAACAAACTGGAAGATATCAGTTACCTCTCTCAAATATAATGACCCTGGGTTTATTTTCACTCCTATAACTATTAGTAGAATTATTGTTGCTCCCATGTACCATATCTTCCTATATACTGCATCTATGACTGCAGTCACTGTGGCACTTAACAATTACTTTATCTTCCAAAAAGTGAAAATTCTGGCCTTGTAATCCTCAACATTCATGCCCATACTATACACTATCTTGATACACTACCCCTGTCTACCTTCTGCAACTGACAGGCTTATTAACTTTTTAAAGATATTCTTAACCTTATAGCCACTTAAGAAAGGTTCTGATATCATGCAGTGTACCACTTGAAGAAGTGCTCATGGGATTCATATTAATTAAACATTTTCCTTCCATACGTAATTGAGTGTTAGTAAATACTGTACCTAAGTATTGCCCTCCTGAGTCTAGCATAAACACACTAGTATCATCAATAACTCTGTTTGTTTCAAATGTGGGTTCATAATGTGGAAGTGCAGCATTGGGACCAAATGCAGCAATAGTACCAAAACTGGGTCCAAGACTCAGTGATTGTGCAGTCCGTAATAGTTGTAAGGTACTGACAGCAGACAACTCATCCCATATTTCTCCTGCTGCTACCTAATAAGAAAGCAATAACATATATAAATATTAATATTTGTACATGTGCTTACATTTAGTTTTCACACTAACACATTGGTAGTAAAACCTCAAGTTTGACATTACTAATATCAAATCCTACCATTCTGCACAATCCTGAGCCCATTTTATCCATTTCCCATCTGCAGAGCCTACTTCCCTCATCCATCTTAATGATATTCTACAATCTCTTACAAATTTTTCCAAGTGGCCATTTTGTAAGTTGTTTCCCTAAAAATTTTGTTAGTATTCCTTTCCTAGTCACATTCCAAGACTATCATAGCCTCCTGAATTTCACTATTCCAACAGTACAAGGTGGTCTACTTAAATAATTAAGTTCCTAATTTTGTATTATCCTAAATTATTAATTTACTCCATCCTTCCTAAATCAAAACAAGTATTTTTCTGAACATTTTGTTATAAATTACTTGTAATTTATGTTCTTCCTTCATACCCACAAAAACAACTAGCAGATTTGTTGTTTTAAAGGTCCTCATCTGCATTTTCTGAAGTATGTGGGATGATAACCGTTTTGTAACTGAATAACATGTATGGGCAAAGTATATTCTTCTCATAATTCATTACAAACCTCAATTATATTCTGCTTTCCCAGATACCTAAATTTGTAAACTGTCACAAAACATTTGTTATTATTATTATTTACTGATTATATTATGACTTTGTTCCATTTACTATAACTCACCCCTTCTTCTAGAATACTTAAAAATTGGCACAGAGCCACTGCATCTCGAATGTGTGCATTCTGCATTCCCTTAGCTTCTATATCACTCTTGCGGTCTTTCATCAATAAAACTGGTGATACAGAAAACACTGCCTTTCCTTCCGGCACCTAAAAAGTGCATCAATGCAGAACTTGTTTAAAATATTTTTCAGATAAAATTATTCAAATTATTGAAGCCTCTTATCAACACAAGGTAAAACTACATGGTCAGATTTCCAAGTTATAAAATGCATTATTCATGACAAATCTGTTGCACCTCTTTATCACTTAATTAAACATGATGCATTAACCTTCTCAACTGTCATTATTAATTGTGCTACCCTTTGAGACTCCATTGTAGTCTAGAGCCTTCCAGCATGCCTATGCCAGCTTCCCTTTTTGACATGATAAACTTAAGCATTCAGTGACTGAATCTTCTTCTCTTCTTCTATGGCTCTCTGGTTCGTATTCGGTCCATGGCCTCCTCAATTCTCCTCTTCCATTCGGTCCTACTGTTAGGTCTGTCTGTCCGAGGCTTTGATTGAGGTTTCGAAACATCTTCCTTTTTATGGTGCAAGGTTGTTAGCCTTGCGACCAACCCCCAACCTGGAGGACCAGGGTACATGTCTTAGTCTGACCTCTCCCCCTCGACCAATCTGGCTAGGGAGGCCGTACCAGTAGCTATGTACTCAAGCCCCACCACCACGACAAGGTGCAGGTACCATTAAGTGAGGCAGTGACTGAATACTTTTTTAAATTAAGGTTACCTCACCCTAACTCCCACTTTCTATCAAATTAATATAATAGTTTGTAAATGTATGCAGTAATGTTTTCAAGGAACACTACTCTCACACTGTAGGTGAACCATCCATATTACCCAGTTCAAAAGAAGTATAACATTTATAAGATAAAATTTATAGTACTATCAAGAAAGATATCCAGGAGTGTCACGTAAAATATGCATTAACAGTATCTGATATCTCTGTAAGAAGTCCATTTTGAAGTTATAATAAATTAGAGTAAATGTGTCCAGATGACTCCTTAATATTAAGGGTTTGAGTCTTTCTCCCTGAGTTCCTAAATCTCCCTCTTTCCCATTGTCAAATGGAGTCCCCAAATACAGGACTATACATATGAGTGCTTTAATATTAAACTTAAATTGCTCTTTTATGTAAGTCTAACAGTATTATTTACAATAAATCTGAGCAATTTGTGCTACTATAAGGCAAGTGATAAAAATTACCTTAAAATAGTGTTTTGACATTCTCAGGAACAACTTATCAGCAGTGTTATGTGTTCTTGTTTCAAATTAAATATTTCATTATATGTATTTTTAATATAAATTACTGAATATTTCATCCATTGAAAAAGGAGAAAAATTATGTCTCACTGTGTTTGCACTGTGTTCCTTAAATTGATATGACAATTCTTGAAAGAAACTGACCATTTTGTATATCAAGTAGCTTGCACCTCGTGCGTAACTAAAAGGATATGGCAGCCAGACTCTGTCTCCATCTTCATTGAAATATTGGAGATCATTCCATATATCTGTGTAATTTTTAATCCTGCAATAAAAGTTATAGTTTTGTTGTATTTCTGTGAAAACAACAAGCCTTTCTAGACCCCTTCATGTACACACACATTAAAATATGTACAATTAGAAGAAAAATAAACACATAATTTAAACTGTTTGCAGAGCAGTTGTGCCTATTAAATTTCCACAAAGAAAAATAAGTTGTGAATATTGTTTTAATCCTTACATATAAAGTGGTAACTTATTATTAATTATTAAATAACTTACCTGACACTATTTGCTTCATTATTGCCATTGGCATTTAGGTGTGCTACAACTTCTGCTGTAGACTTCCCTGGTGGTAGATATAGTGTTGCCCATGTTGTTCCAACTATCAAGTATGATTGGAATACAGGCGTAAATGGAACATCAGCTCCTCTTAGATTCAGCAACCATGCAATTTCATCCAGGGCCGTTAATACAAGGACACTGGATTTGTTACTGTCTATAGATTGACGAACCGCAGCAATTTTCTCCTGCCATGATAATCCTGAAGCATTTAAAATAAAATTTGTATAATACAGGATTAATTATTTTTTCCTTGTGACTTTCAATGCATTTCATCACTGCCTAAGTACAACTTGAAGAATAGTGGGATATAAAACTTTATATTCAACTTGCCTGCATATGCAGTGTCTAATATGAAGAGAGGGTCAGAAGGATAAGGAGGACGTCCTTCTTCAGAACCCCAGATCTTATCCACCAGGTTATCTAGGTAAAGCTCCAGCTTCAATCCTGCTTTTGCTATAATACATTAAAATTGCCATTTTAACATACCTAAGGTACGGTGAAATTTCTAGAGGCCCAAATAGTGCTTACAGATTTTGGGCCTTACCACACTGTTAAACATCACACACCTTATCCCACCCAACACCAGACTGAAAATCCCCAGAAACATTCACATTTATGTGTCTCTGTGATGCATATTTTGATCATTTTGTAATAATTAATTCTGAAGTGGAACATGCCAGCAGCCTAATCCATGATGGCTCAATAAGATCGAAAAGTCGTACATTTTAGAAACAATAATTGTAACTTCCTTGTCCTAAGTAAAGGAATAATGTGTCCCTACATTTTAAAATGCTGAAATTTGCTTTAAACAAGAGGCATGGTCCATGAAAGGGCTCATGGGAAAATATACTATTGTCATTCATAATGTTGTTGTTTTTATAACATCTCTATGACAATTGTTAAGGATGTTGTTTCTAAAGTAAACCATAAGAAATCTTAAATTTCAGGACTCAATTGGCAATTGGGTTGTGATGCCAGAGTCAGTGATAGGGCCTTACTCCAGAAGCTAAAATTGTGCATAAAAGCTAAAAAGATGTCAACAGAAAAGCAAGAACCAAGTTACAAATGCAATAAAAAAGTAGTCACTCAAATTTAATAAGTTAAGCTTTGTTGTGGTTGAATAGAATGACGATCAACACAATAAATCATAAAATCTCACTTATTTCTTAACCAACATCATGCAACCTCTCAATAGAAGTATATGGACAGACATCAAAAAGGTTTAAAAGTAGTTGGACTTTCAATTTTACTTAGAATCTTAATTTTTGAAATACTGACTTGATTCCATAAATAAAACATCAATACAGAGCTTACAGAAAAAATTATCCCAATTAGTCCATTCTGTATATGAAATAATTCTGGGGTCAGCCGAAATAAGGTCTCCAGGATGTATTTGCGACAGTAACCATTCTTGTATGCTCGGAACCTTAAAGAGAGAAATTATCATTATTACTACCGTCATCATTATAATCTTCACCAGAATCGATGTGATCATCGTCTTCATTATTATCATGTCATCGTAATTGTCTGTCTGTTCAACAACTGACAAACACCCTACCACTTGATTGTCACGTCTAAAGTAAGTTATAAACAAAATTAAATTCATACACGAAGAACACAAAATTTGATATATTTTAATAAATCAGAATTTTTGGGGGCGTTATACTTTTTATTCTGTATGTCCTACGTGGTAAGTCTGAGGATCAAAATACGAATGGATAAACATGGTGTATGTGCTTACGTCGCTATAGCCAGACTTCATGAGGATCCAATTACAGTCGAGCTGATTTTCAGCTTGCAGATAATAACGACTGTCTGTCCAAAGCGCGGCACTGTCCAGGGTGATCACAGCATCACCGGCGCTTCCACTAAACCCAGATATGTAACCACGACGCAGATCGTGGCTGGCGACGTACTCGCTCTGAAACCAAGATGGTAAAAGTTTACAGACATTCCAGAGGTCCTTGCTGCTTCCATCATCAGGGCGATGACTCAACCCATAAGACAGCCATCTTCGTTACATTTTTTGTTAGATAAACCAAAAAAACATATTACATGAACAAACAAATGTAATCCACAACAGCTGAGAAAGGACATTCTCTGAGAATATCTGTCCTGACAGGCAGTTTCACACTGAAAAATTACATATGCACCTGGTGGTCATCACCAGACGTAATGATGTATGCAGATAAGTTTGCCTGAATCATCTTCTGTCGTAGACGATGGAGACGTTCTGTGGTGTCCACGCGGCTGGCAGGGAGCGTCTGTTCGGGTCCGCAGGCATATCTGTCGACTGTGGCATCCTGACTGCGTGCTAGGGTTATATTTCCAGCTTCTGGAGGGGTCTTGCAGGCCGCCAAACCCACCAAGACTGTTTAAAAATCAAATAGTTGCATTGAACTTACACAAATAACTCCATGGAGCAGAATAATTGAAAAGCTAAGCCGCTCAGCTAGCAAAGAAATCCCCCTGAATGTTTATTACCACGTTCACAAGTGCCCGCCATACAAGAATAAATTTGTTATGTATATAGTCGGGTTAAAATCTAGAAAATTTATATTAAAAGCACAATAAAACCCGTGTTTTATAATAAACAAATCATGTTAAACCAACATGGATAAAAAGCAAATTTCATGACATAAACTTTAAAATGTCTTTTACTTCAATCCTCCGTAAAGTTGGATTTTCATAATATATTATTGTATTATTCTCTATTGCCCTTTCTCCTGTGTTGTGTAATTTACTGTTATATATATATATATATATATATATATATATATATATGTAACTGACTAACTCCATGCAATATAATCCTAACTGAAATGTTTATGTATCCAAAAATTCCGGGTTTTTATAGAAACTTAAAGCTCATTGGTGCATTCAAAATAATCTGACGGTGGTCTCTACACAGAACTAGATCAATCCAGTCCACATCCGTATTCTTTAAAAGACACTTTAATTTTATTATTGTCTGCTTCTCCCAAATCGTCTTCTCACACTTATTTCTGCCATAGCATTTTCATATGCGCTTCTAATATCTCCAATGCGGGGTGCAATTCTAGCTCGCCTCCTCGTGGCGCACCCTGGATAACGCTAAATGAGCTAGAGGAATTGGCTGCCGGACTGTTAACAGATATCCTGGCCAATACACCTGAACTCTTCTACATCACCTGAGAACGGTTCTTCTCAAAGCCATTTGACTCTAAATCTTGGAAATATCCGTATTTGCCAGTTAAATGTGGAAGGAATAAACAAATCTAAATGTGAGTTCCTTTCACAGTTACTGCTAAACAATGATCCCGATCTGGTAATCCTTCAAGAAACTCACGTAGAAAACGAAGAACAACTAAGAGCTAGAGGAAGAATTCCTGGATACGAATCTCCCATGCGAGCTACATGCCTAACACATCTCATCCACCTTGAGTTGGCCACCGTAACAATATTGGTGAAGAGTGCAAATTATTAAGATCCTCATTACACAGTTTTCTCCAAGGTAAAATATTTTTATACGTACCGTATTCTCAAAAACCATTAATATTTGTTATTTCCCCAACGTTCAGAGAATAAGTTTCACACCATAACACAACAGGTAGATTAACAATTTTATACAGTACCGGTACTTAAATATTTGCAGTTTTAAGTAAGAAACGAGAAAATAATAATTATGTATTTTAATCTTCGATTATTTTACTGAAAAATTACGAAAACATTTTATATTCTGAAGAAATTTGTACCATTCATTTCCTCTGTTCTTGTAGCACTATGTTCTGTAGTACTGTTTTGGCTAGTTCAGTCAATGGGTATTAATGTAAAATAGTCCTGTCCTGTATGTAATATACGCCGGACTTTTCCATAAATATAAAATATTTTAATGTGTATAAGTCAAAATTCCTGTTTCAGCAGTTGGAAATCCTATAAGAATTTATAATGGAGTACTTGGAAATTTCTATCTCAACGTTTTAATCTGTTTACGTGTTGGCTAAACAGAGAATACTGAATTAGTTCCCACATCAGGACGGGAAACTTTGTGAAAAGTAAACGACCTCTCAGATATTTATATAATGACTAGTAAACATTCTCAGAAGTTGGACTATTATTGGTATTAGATATGCAAGTGAATCATTTCCGATTATGTTCGCATGGATTCCCTGCGTAGCCTATACGAAGTCATAAGTACCATGTGCTTTGCCCAGTTATTCGAAAATATTTGTTTACTGAGGGTAAACTCTGTTATGTGTAGATAAACATTTATTTCGACACAAATGAGATAAACTTGAGGATAGTAATGCTAGGTGAAATACGCTGCTTTAAAAGGCACGATTCCATTCTTCCACATTCTTTACAAATCGTTATGCATTAATCATACCATCATTCGACGCTCTATTGTCTGAACTACTAACAGCTTCGTTAAAGCATAATTAAAAACTAACCCCCATAAATGTCGGTATCTTGTTCTGATCCCTACACATAAGTAAACTAGTTCTAATTTTGTTTCTCATGTATAAAGCCGTAAAGGACCAACTGTGTGACATTGCAAAAAAACAAAGATTTGTCAAAGCATAAACGTCCATAACTCATTGTTTTATCAAGTTATTTTTTTATCTTGAACATGTTTAGATTTTATGAATACTGAACAATACAATCAGATTAGATTACATATAATGCATGGGTCTACAACAAATTTACTTATCTTTTAAGACTGCCAGTTTTTCAACTAGGTATTTACGTAAAGTAAAAAGTAATATTTGTGGCAGCTTGGATTGCTTTTGTATTTCAATTATTCAAAAATTGAATTCGAGAACCATCTATTAGTTTCATCTTGTCTGTCTCTCTGTTGACACGTAATAAGCCCAGACTACCTGTTTGATTTCGATCAAATGCGGTATGGAGGGTTTTTTTGAATAATTTTATTTATGCTTAGTTTAGCTCTTTTTAAGGACTATTTTATTTAAGCACCCTATGAAATTTTGTATCATACGAGTTTATATGGAACTTAATGTTCGACAATTGCATTTATTTAATTCACTTTAATGTCAAATGTACCCAAGGGTCTAATTGAACCGTTACGTAAATATTTTAACATAATTTATCACGTTAATTATATTGTCATTATTGGGATTACTGTATGTTTTATTGACATTAATTAGTTTTAAAGCCTATATTACATTACTATACACTCAATATTTTCACTTCACGTAAAGAACATCTTACACCTTCCAATATATTTTGCATGTTTTCTACTTTCCTAACGACGCTACATGAGCTGTAAAGATTCGGTAACATCAAATAAAATGTAGAATGAAGCTAGTAAATGATTTTATGGGAGAAATGTAAAATAAAATTATTATAGCCAACATCACTGACAGTAATCAGACAACCACACACTAATTCGTTACATTCTATTTCAGATGCCTTTCCTATTTGGAAATTTACCTTTGGAGTGTATCTCTACCAGATGTATCTTCACCAGATTCAAATAACAATAACAAGTGAACACTGTAACAAATGTTTTAATATATAAACATAATGTTCCGAGATAAACTTAGCATACAACACGTCACACTTCACACCGCTCAGCCTCCCATTAAATAATCAGTTCACGTCTTACAGAAAATACAACGCATCTCTGTTACAAAAATTAACTGGCTAATGTAGCTCAGAGCAGTAATAACTGTTTATTCTGATAATCATTCGAAATCCATAAATATGTTAGTAGGCAAAATTCAGTTGTTAAATATTACAGATCCAGTCTAGCTTAGCTTCCATTATTAATTTCTCTAACAATGTTCTGCGAAGAGTAAAAGGTGATCGTGGACCTTCTCATAATGTAGTGATATCAATTCACCAGATAGTAAATTTATCTTCGATTTTTTTTCTCCTGAAAGCAGGAGACTTAATTTAACATCGGTACAAAACAACGCACAAGTTCATACATTTTAATATACACATTGCTCCCTAATTACAAGTAGGTCTAAGGTTTCTTGAGTAATCGTGGACGCGTATTTTTTGTTTATTATATCCTTAATTTCAATGCACGCACTTCAAGAGAACTTTTAGAATACGCTCGCATATTTTATGATACAAAAAATCACAAAATACATTTAAATGTCAGATGCTCTTGAACGGGATTCAAAATATTTCAAAAATACTTGAATTCCACTTCTATTGCAATATAGAAAGTTCTAAATTGCGCATTGTAACGGAACTGTATAATAATGATTACAGTACAGAATAAATAAGAATGTTTATATTTTTAAGTGCCTTCTATTATCGCGATGCCAGATTGTTTGTGTATCTTATAAGCCAGGCTTAAAAGTTTAGTATATAGGCAGCATATTTGTGACTGCAATCACGTACCATACGGTAATAATTAAAGGACAGTTTCGCTCACCCAGAATTCGGAGACAGAGCTTCAGCATCGTGGAGTGACACATTAATGAGGTGTATATAGATACTGTAGTCCTTAATATAGCTGTGTATGATAGCTACATCGTTTCTCCTATCTAGCTTTTAAACGGATCCCCTATCACTTGAATAATGCTGTCACATTACCGTTAATCTCCATAACAGGGGTCGGTAACTTGGGCCGAAGCCACATGTGACTGTGGTTCTAAAATAAGTTATTTGTTTCTTAATTAACTCCATGGAGCAGAGTTCTTTTTCATGAAGTAATTCTCCGTCTCTTATGGAATCAATGGTTCATTACCATGCTCGTAAAAACTCATCAATGATTCATATTCTGAGCCAGATACATCCAATCCCGCGTAATCCTACTCCCTCAAGATCCATTTATATTTATCCTACTTTCTTTGATTAGGTCTCTAAGGTATGATCTTCACTTTAGGTACTCTGACCATAATTCTGTATTCATTTCTCATCTCCATGCACGCTACACATTACTAATACATTTCTGTGCCCACTTGTAAGAGTATGACCTTTGAAAACAAGACCCACATTTCATTTGTAGTGTTTTACTTTAACACATTTAAAATAAGCATTTAAATAAATACAGAAATACTTTAATGGTGTTAAGTTAAATAATTACAGGCTGCATTTTGATTCATATGCATTGTTTGTAATTGAATGGGATAGCTATAAGCAGAATCTTATCTGTTAAATCTATATCTGATTCCTTATGTAACAATTAACAAGTAGATAATCATCTCATTCACATAACACCACAAAGAGAAACTAAAGAAGCTCTCTTCGCCATAACCTGATTCTTGGAATTTCAGAACTACTTAAAAAGTATCTAAAAGTATTTAATAAAATTGGCAAAAGTTGCCACAGAGTCAACATACCTTGCTAAACAGATGCAATTCATTGCATGATATGCACAAAGGCTGTCAATGTCAGTGGTCAGAAATGTAATACGGTACTAGAAACTCTTAAAAAAATGGCATTAAACTTTATTCTGAACATGACCATTGTAAACATTTTTGCATCATTTTCCACAATAAACAGCACATGCTAACACATCATTGACTTACACGGAGAACTTGGTACAATAGGCGACTTCTTTCAGCTGTTCCCATCCAAAAATCAGACAGGCAGAAAAATAATTTGGCCAATGCGACAGATTCACCTCACTTGATCCTTCATTAGAAAAAAAAATGTAGGATGAGTGAGCATGTGTGCAGAATATTCAGAAAAAAATATTGAGGCAGACGGACAATATCGTATTCTGCTGTGGCAAGAAATGTTCACATACAAGACTGAGGTAATATTAGATAATCACTGTATGAGATGTGGTTAAAAAGTTCTGGCACCAAATTAGTTACATTATAGGACATTAAACAGAATTTAGCTTAATGAAGAATCATTCTCTATGAGTAGATTAAAAATACTGTACATAAAAAATGTAGAAATTAAACCACATTTATACAGAATTCTCCCTGTGGATCACAAAGATATGGAAGGGATAAAAGATCTTGAAGTCATGGTAAGTTAGAAGTAGTGATGTCAGACACAGTTCTAATCATGTTGGGTCATATCCAAACTTATTTATTTGAGGACAGATTATATACAAGATTACAAACCTCTCAGAAAGTCATAAAATCGCTAAGTGTAATTCACCATTCAGCAACACATGCAACTTTGAAGTAAAAGCTGATTTACCTCACACTTTGCAAATGTTTATCAATCAGTCAGTATGATGCTTTGTACTGCAGATAATGATCATTTCTTTGGTTTACCAGCCACAGACACCATTTGAATATCTTCATTTAATTAAACTTGGTTCAATATCTACTTTTCCATGTTATTCTGTAAACTTACCTACACGTAGATAGCATCTTATCATAAAATCAGAAGCAGTTGGAACACATATTTCTCCTTTCAACTAGGATATTTAGCACTGTTAAGTTCAGTATACTACACAGATAAGATACCATTCATGATTATACACATGCATGTTGCTTCAACATGCATTAACATTAGTATCCTAATCATAAATTGCTAAAATTAATGACATCACAAACTCATGAATTACTCCACTTTTCTAGAAATATCATGAGCACATTGAATTATCTAAAAAAAATTGGTCACCACAGCTTATGTATTAAGATTAAGAACAGGAGCAAACTAGGCACGGAAGTTTTATGTTTTCATCACCATTAAAAAACTATAGAATACACCAAACTAAATACAAGAAACAAATCATTTCTGACCAGTGCTAAGCAAACAAAATGTTTAGCAAAAGTACACAAATACAATTTCAACGTATTCAAATTGATAATTCAAATGATGTTCACAAAAATTTGCCATTTTACTGGACTGAACATATTACAAGAAAAATTGATTAATTTATAACATGATTAAGTAGCTAACCCACTAGCTTAATCTGTAGTAAAAAAATCACATAAGGGGAGAAAAGGAAAACCAACATGAAACTATGATAAGGCTGCTTGGAAGACAAAGGAGTACAATATTAAAACAATATTAGTAAATTGGTCTGAACTCAGGACACGACCCAACCTTTGAGTTCTATGTACCTGGGCAGACAGCATCTGTTAAGACAAAAATATACTCATTAATTTTTATGGCTAGGATTCTGAAAATTCACATGATGATAAATTGTATATAAAAGTGGAGACCAAAAGAACAAATTAAAATCTAAGTCGTATTACTGAAATAAAGTCAGTTTGCAACAAAGAATGAAGAGATTACTAATTGAATATGGGCTTCACAATTAAAGGCAAAGGTAAAGTTGTCCCTGGACCTCAGCACCATACTTTGATATAGACCTACAAGAATTTTAAACCTCTGCACTAGACAGAGATGGTGAGTGGTGAGCTCCATACTGCAGATGCTTCAGAGGCCCACCTATTGGACAAGAGAAGGCTTGGAGGGGCATAAGCTTGGTCTTTACATTATGATGAAGAGAAAAATCTGTCCCAGTTGGGAATCAAATCCTGGTTATTCAGTCCACAGTCAGTCACTTTTCTCGCTGAGGTCTTCTTGGCTAAAACCATTAGGTCAGACTGCGAGTTTAATCCTCAAGAGACTAACATTTCACGGCTAAATCTGGTTTCCAAAATTTGTTACAGTGATGATAATATGAGCAGAAGATAAAAAGACCCCTGAAAATCCAATGTGCTTTACCAACACAAAGGACATAACCTCTTATATACTGAGAAAAATTCAAAATGAGATTTATTTTGAAACTTTGATATAACAAGAATTTTTAGAATTTGGAAAAAATGCTTGTTTGAACAGTTGATCATAATATTCTAAAACTACCGAAATATGTAATATTCCAACCTGTCTCCTAAATACTAATTAAATATATCACAATATGACACTGGTTTAAAAAAATAATATGACCAGGATAATACAGAATTTATTCATTCTTGAAGTGGTTATCTGACAGATGTACAAATTAATACTAATTAAGCATTCTCAAAGTCTTCAGAATTATCTGAATCATAAAGTAACAAACTGTTATTACAGTTGTCTTTTACAAGTAAATGTCCCACCCACTACTTGCTCTACACCCAAAAGTCCCATTCACATTCTATCCATCATGTGCTGTATGTGCATACATATGTAAAAGCTGATAGTATTTTGTCTTTATTATTCAAAATGGTGAACAATGTCAAGGGAAATTTATAGTCTTCCTATTTTGCTCTTGGCAAAGCTCTCCACTTCAAGCTTCAGATTCAAGTCCGAGCACTTCCGTTCCATCACTATTTTTTTTTTAAGTTAAGTACTTGAGGTTGGATGGTTTTGTAATTTATGAGTTGGTTGATTTTGAGTGGGATGTGTTGTTTTTGTTGTGTCCTTTTTTTATTGTTTTGTTCTGTCTCTGTGTTGATGTATCTCATTGTTTGTGTGTCATTGTTTTTGTTGTGTCCTTTATTTATTGTTTTGTTCTGTCTCTGTGTTGATGTATCTCATTGTTTGTGTGTCATTGTTTTTGTTGTGTCCTTTATTTATTGTTTTGTTCTGTCTCTGTGTTGATGTATCTCATTGTTTGTGTGTCATTGTTTTTGTTGTGTCCTTTATTTATTGTTTTGTTCTGTCTCTGTGTTGATGTATCTCATTGTTTGTGTGTCATTGTTTTTGTTGTGTCCTTTATTTATTGTTTTGTTCTGTCTCTGTGTTGATGTATCTCATTGTTTGTGTGTCATTGTTTTTGTTGTGTCCTTTATTTATTGTTTTGTTCTGTCTCTGTGTTGATGTATCTCATTGTTTGTGTGTCATTGTTTTTGTTGTGTCCTTTATTTATTGTTTTGTTCTGTCTCTGTGTTGATGTATCTCATTGTTTGTGTGTCATTGTTTTTGTTGTGTCCTTTATTTATTGTTTTGTTCTGTCTCTGTGTTGATGTATCTCATTGTTTGTGTGTCATTGTTTTTGTTGTGTCCTTTATTTATTGTTTTGTTCTGTCTCTGTGTTGATGTATCTCATTGTTTGTGTGTCATTGTTTTTGTTGTGTCCTTTATTTATTGTTTTGTTCTGTCTCTGTGTTGATGTATCTCATTGTTTGTGTGTCATTGTTTTTGTTGTGTCCTTTATTTATTGTTTTGTTCTGTCTCTGTGTTGATGTATCTCATTGTTTGTGTGTCATTGTTTTTGTTGTGTCCTTTATTTATTGTTTTGTTCTGTCTCTGTGTTGATGTATCTCATTGTTTGTGTGTCATTGTTTTTGTTGTGTCCTTTATTTATTGTTTTGTTCTGTCTCTGTGTTGATGTATCTCATTGTTTGTGTGTCATATTGTTTTTGTTGTGTCCTTTTGTTTATTGTTTTGTTCTGTCTCATTGTGTTGATGTATCTCTTCATTCTGTTATGTCTCATTGTTTTGTATGTTATTGTAGGCCACTGCCACCGGGTATAAACCCATTTGCAGTCAATAATAAATAATAATAATAATTACCATCAAACAATCTTTACATAAACAAGAAGTACAACTGCAAAATAATTTTAAACACCCATTCACTGGCCTATAAACACATCTCTGCTGTCACATGAAGGCACAAAATTAGCTGGTACCTGATGTGTTCAGCTGTTGGAAGTAAGTTACGTTTCCTCACTTTGTGACATAACAATATCATATTCTGGAACCCACTACAGTCATAGTTCACTTTTGTCGGACTGCCAGAGAGCAACGGAAGGTGTAGAAATATCACTCGTTACAGTGTTTGTAGTTAAAATTATCAGCAACACATGAACAAGCTGTATTACCAAATAACAACATGCAAACAGTTACAAAGAAATGGTTTAAATAGGTGGTAAAGGAACAATATTTGGGTTTTTCATTGTAGTAGAGAACACCAGACAGTTTGGAGGGGTGAGCTATCACAGTTATTCTTCATCTCAGAATATAGTAAATGAAGTTAACAGCTTGAAGAGGGATGTTAGGTCAGGCACAACAGAAGCACACACCTCTTAAAATAGGAAGTTTCATAAATGTTTTTCAGCTTGATAATTTATAAAAGAAACTAACAAATAAGAAAACATAAATAATGTTTGTTATTAATAATGTAGTGAATTAATTTTAGTTAACATATGGTAAATTAGGAATGTAGAGATTTGAAGTTACATAGAATTAAGTATAGTAGACATTTGAATTTGCTAAAAGGTAGGAATGTATTGATGTCATTTCCTGGCATTGAGTAAAGCAGCAAGGCTAGCTCAGCTTAATCTCAGGGGATGAGAAAGAAAAATTAACCGGAAATGCAGACGTAGCCATTTGGCAGTCAGCAGAAGTATGGGAAAATGCGAACGAACAGTTGATGAGGGAAGTGGGAGATGGATAACGGTCAGAACCGCCGGAACTTTGAAGATTTATCGTTCTATGCGTACTATACTCGGAGTCATTGCCTCAGCGCTTACCTGTTATCAGTAGCACGATCAGCTGCCCCTTGCCCATGGCTTCAATTACCTCCTCGTATCTTCAAAGTTCCAGCAGTTCTGACCGCGATCTATCTCCCACTTCCCTTGTCAACTGTTCGTTCGCATTTTCCCATACTTCTGCTGACTGCCTAATGGCTACATTTGCATTTCCGGTTAATTTTTCTTTCTCATCCCAAGAGTAAGGTGAGCTAGCCTTGCTGCTTTACTCAATGCCAGGAAATGACATCAATACATTCCTACCTTTTAGCAAATTCAAATGTCTACTATACTTAATTCTATGTAACTTCAA